ATTCAACAAGAGATAGGCTTCAGAAAGAGAAACCAGAGTACCAAGAATACTAATCAGAAAGGAACACTGCTTCAACAAGACTGAAGTTGATGGCTACATGGAATTATGCTATTCTAAAAAAATAAAATCAAGCTGGGTGCTGGTGGCTCACGCCTGTAATCCTAACTACTCGGGAGGCTGAGATCTGAGGATAATGGTTCAAAGCCAGCCTGGGCAGAAAAGTCCGTGAGACTCTTATCTCCAATAAATCACATAAAAACCAGAAGTGGTGCTGTACCTCAAAGTGATAGAGCATTAGCCTTGAGTATAATTGCTTAGGGACAGTGCCCAAGTCCTGAGTTCAAGCCCCAAAACCAAAAAAAGTAAATAAAAATAAAAATCTGCAAAGTGCTGCCCTCCTTATCTTGCATTTTGATAGTAACTTCAATTGGACATGAGATAATTCATGTATCTGCTGCCTTCCATTTCAGGAAGAAAATTGTCTTAAAGGCTCTAGCTGAGCTTTAAAAAGAGCACAGTCATTACCTTTCACCAGCATTATCAACGTTTGCCTAATTCCAGGAAAAGTTCCTTCCTAACATTTTACTTTACCACACTTGAAGCCAGTGTAACATGGGCCCCAACTGTGCATCCAAGTAACTCACAACACACAACAGATACTCCTTTGGCTGGGGCCGTAGCTGAAGTGGAATGGTTAGGTAGGCAAGTTAAGCCTTGAATTCCATTCTCAGTACTGACAAAAGAAGTCTAAAAACATACCTCATTTGTAGCCGATGTGGTTGTGGGGCTTTATAAAACTGATATATGCTGGGTGCCAGTGGCTCACGCCTGTAATCCTACTCAGGAGGCTGAGATCTGAGGATGCGGTTCAAAGCCAGCCTGGACAGGAATGTCTGTGAGACTCTACACTCCAATTAACCACCAGAAAATCGAAGTGGTGCTGTGGTAGAACAGCCTTGTGCTGAAGAGCTCAGGGACAGTGCCCGGGCCCAGACTTCAAGACAAAACAAAAAGCCAACAAAAACACAAAACAACAAAAAGATATATTTGTTCAAGAATTTCTAGCACTTGCTCTTCCGTCATACACATAATTATCTTTCTTATACACACCTGTCACTGGACTGTAGTATCCAAAGTAGATTCCAATCACAGTGGACAATCATGTTCAGTTCCAGGAATCTTATTTAAAAAGCATTTGTTTCTACAGAATACACAAAATGTATACAAATCCTTTCAGCATTCCCCCCCCCCCACGTTTCTTATTTATCTTCGAATAGTACTATGAGGGACTGAAGTTTGTCTAGCCTCAACTACCATAAAGTAAAATATGTGAAGGATGTGGCGTATCTGCTGTGAGCTCTCTTAGGAGGAACTAGAGCTAGGACCCATTGAGAAAACTTCTGGGGTTCCTTGTCACGTCCCTAGCCCTTTCTGCTTTCACTTTTTTTTTTTTGGCAGTCCTGAGGTTTGAACTCAGGGCCTGGGCACTATCCCTGAGCCTCTTTGTGCTCAAGGCTAGCACCTTACCAATTGAGCCACAACTTTACTTCCAGCCTTTTGAAATCTAATGGACTTTCCTGCCTTCGTGGTATCCAATTGTGAACCTCAAATCTCAAGCCTTCTGAGAAGATTACAGATGTGCGCCACCTGTATCTGCTTGGCACTGATTTTTGCTTGAGGCCTAATGGACCAGAAAAGATGTTTGATGAAAATTAGTGTACTACTTAAAATACTATTATATAATATTGAGAGAAAAGTTGAAGAATCGATTTCTGTGCTACTTCTGTTATTTGTAACAAGCAGCAATCCTGAACTACATTTGGAGACTACAGAGGTAATACTTCTATTTTACCTCAGTCTAATAGTAAGGGTTCATGGTTCAAAGCTAGTCTGGGCAGAAAAGTCAGTGAGACTCCATCTCACCAGCAAAATGCTGAAACTAGTGGTCTGGTTCAAGTGGTAGTGTGGCCAGCCCCAAGCAAGAAAGTTGAGCTTAAGGCACAGTACCAGTACACAGAAAACAAAAAACTAATCATAAATAAGGGTCCACTATGCTGTTAGCTTCAAACCTGGATTCAAATTCTGAGGAATAAAACTAAACAAAAACCAGGTCCTGGTGTAATCCTAGCTACTCAGTAGGATGAGCTCTGAAGATTGCCCCAGCAGGAAAAGCCCACCAAAAGTCGTAAGTGAAGCTGTGACTCAAGTGGCCTTGAGCAAAAAAGCTGCTGGACAGTGCCCAGGCCCTGTTGGTTCAAGCACTAAGATGGACACAAAAATAAACAAATTAAACTAAACAAAAATAATGCAACCTAAACACAAATCATAAGACTTCATTTTTCTGATTATGGTCATAACTACTCAGGAGGCTGAGATGTGAGGATCATACTTCAAAGCCAGCCCAGCAGGAAAGTCCGTGAGACTCCAACTACCAGAAAACTAGAAGCTGTGGCTCAAGTGGTAGAGCACTATCTAGCCTTGAGCTGAAGAGCTTAGAGACAGCACCCAGGCCGAGTTCAAGTCCCATAACTGACCCCCCCCAAAAAAGAAAGAATTAGAGAAAGATGTGAATTATTTCAAGTTTTAAATTCCATTATTTTCTCTGATCGCCCATGAGATAGTTTTCACATAGTTTATATGGGAATACTTTGGGGTTCAACGTACTTATGTATTCCATTCTATAAACTTCACAAAAGTAGAAATGTACTGAGAAACATTCTCTGTACTTCGTACCCTTTAGTATAAGTGCTTACTTTTCTTTAAGTTATGAAAATTAAACTCCTTCCAGAAAACCTTGGGCAGAAACAATTACTTCTAAACAGGAAGTAAAGACAAGCACTATGGAATTTACAATTTATCTTATAGACACTCAGAAAAGAACACACACAAAAACCTCTGAAGACGTAAGATTTGGTCCTTAGAAATTTTAAAGTGTTGAAATAAACAGTATTTTTCAATTTTGCCTTTTCTCCATTAAAATCTTTGCAAGTTAGTTTTATCCAGTAGTACATCCAACAATATGATGTTGATTCAGAAACTAAAGAAAAAGGACACAAGAATTTGAAGGGCTTAAATATATTTTTATATTGATATTCTGTGTCTTTCTACCCTAAAATAATACATTATTATTGATTACATACAAGATGAGGTGAGGTATTTGTAAAATATTTGATAAAAATAATTAATATACAGTATTCTACATGAGATGGAACCTTATGAACTTCTAAGTCTTCTGAAGTGATAAGTTGATCATCTAGTTTAAATTGTCCTGAACAGACTTTTATAATTGTTCCCTAAAACCATGTTCAAAATGGAGGCTCTTACATTTCCCCAAAATTTATGCTGAAAAGGGAAAGTACACAATTGGCAATTTCTGTTTTCCATATCCATATCCATTCACACAAAATCAAGACCTCCATACTTAGCATAAAAAGAAAAAAAATACTGTATCAGAGATATAAAATCTCTATGGTTAGGCTAATTCACCAACACCAAAGAAATTCAAGTGGTCAACAGTCTTGAAAATGCTTTATTGAAATGTATGATTTGTGTTTAGAAGATGTGTTTGAAAAAACCACAGCTTGAAAACCGGTTTTTGAAAACTTCTCAACAACCAATTAAAAAGAAAGAAAAAGAAAGAAAAAAGAAGAAAGAAAAAGAAAAATCTCACTGGACTTAACTTCTAGTATAACTAGAAGCCCAGTGTAAAATTTTCCTTCAAAACATTTTCCATTACAGAAACTAAAGGAAACAAAGCTATTATGTTTGGAAATTGTTGGAGTTTCAGAGAAGAAGCAACAGTTTCTTAGACATAGAGGTGACTTCTTTTTGGTACATTTGGATGAACATGAACTTCACAGTTCTTAATAGAACACCGGAGAGGTGCTCAAGTCTGTATGCTTGTCAGGTTGAAGAAACAGAGAAACACAGACAGGAAAAGACAAAGATGGTGGGAGAGAGAGAGAGAGAGGAGAAAAGAGGAATGGAACGAGACATGATTAGGTTTGAGTCTAGTTATAAATTTATCAGAAGCTGTGCGCACCTTTTTAAAAAGTCCTAAAATTACATTCCAAAAACTGCCCCCCCAACCCCCAGACCCATTGTCCCTGCCTTGGAGCGATTGTGAACATCTATGCACAAAACTTAAAACAGAAAACAAAATAACTCGGCCCCTCCAAACCCCAAAACAAACCCCAAAAGGCTGTACAGTTTCTTTTCTTTTTTTTTTTTTACATAGAATTAATAATATAGGCATATAGGTGGCATGATTCAATTAAAAGGCTTTACTTGTTATGCCAGAAAAACCCCAATAAATAAAAGGTGCTAAGGTTAGCATTAAGAATTTGGTTGTAACATCATGACAAAATCTGGGAAGGCAAATCCTCAAAGCTCCCCTGATACTGATCTGTCTCAGCAAACTACAGAGCAAATACATAAATAACACAGAATATGATTGAAAATGTGAAAAATTTAAAAACAGACAACATAATTCATGTTAACTTTGTTGAACAGTAAAATAAATGAAATTCATCTACACCTGAATGAAACATGTTTAACAATCGGAAAAAAATTTTAAACAACCACAAAAAGTAAAAACTTGAAACAAATAGTGAGTAGGATTTGTTTTAAGGGCAGGCACACAGCGCGCCTGCAGCAGATTCCGACAGCTGTTGTGCTGGTGTCTTCTACAGATGAGTTAGGCAGGCTGGCTCCGTACAGGCAAGATGACTAACAGGGCGACAGGACACAGGCGGAGCGCCACACCTTGCTAGGACCCCCAGATTCCACTGCAGAGCTGGCTTTGTGCACAGGAGGCACACAAAGAAAGGTGATTCAGGCAGACATTATTCAAAAGCTATTTTGTCCCATAACCATTGAATAATGTTTGGGAAAGCTTTGGGCTTTGTTTTTGTTTTTTTAAAGTTTTACTCCTTGTATTTACTTTTTAAATAACAAGGTCACTAAAACTCATGCACGCTGCAAAAAACCTCATGCAGTAGTTAAGGTAAACCATCCAAGCAGTTTTTATTCATTAATATTCATAAATACACACAGCAGCTTCATTAGAGATTTCAATTTTCCTCTTCAGTTTGAATGTGGAATATTAGGAGAGCCTTTTGCATGTCAAGGTACAGGAAGCAGAGATCACCCTGCACTGCTACCTACATTTACCTGCTAGAAGTAAAAATTAGTTAAGTGGAAATGATTATCATATATATTTTCTCTCTTCCTTTTGAATGTACACAATGTAACAAGAGTGACAGACCTGAAATTACAATCACCAAACAAACCCAGGATAGTTGTTGTCCACTTTCATTGGCAAATACAGCACAGAGGACATTGTCTGCGAATTGGGAGGTCATCAAAGAGGAGGTGGTGGAGGCTCATTTCCTTTATTACTCTCTTTTAAATTTAGGTTTTCTAAAGCAACATCTAAAGGCATAATATCTACACAGCCCATAGCACCAAAATCTGCCATCTCCCCCCGTTCATCCTCATCTGAGGATGAACTCTCTTCACGCACTAAAGTAGACAGAAGGAGCTCTTGGACGAACAGGCTACGGTCTGCACGCTCACTTTCCATGGACTGGCGCTCTGTTTCAGACATTTTAGGATCATTCAACCTGTGTAAGTTAAAAGAGAAAGAATTCATTGGTAAAAGTCAGTGAGACTAGGGGCACAGTATTCACTGTGCCAGCTCCAGAGGCAGCACTCAGAATGTGGGACACTTCACTGGAACGCCTTGCACTCACTACTGTATTATAGCCACAGGGATTCCCCACACTTGTAGCAATACCATTGCCCTGAGGTATGACGGTCTCAATTAGGCTCAGTGAGAACATAAAACAAAGCAACCAAAATAAACATTTAGACTTCTACTCCCTCTAGAAAAACAGTGTTTTTTTTTCTTTCTTTCTGTGTCTTACTGGGGCTGGACCTCAGGGCGCCTCACCCACTTTCTTGCTGACAGGTGGCCACCTATCATTTGCTTACTCCTGCCTTTTTGGTTTATTTAGAGATGGGGGGTCTTTACCTTGGCCTCAGCCTCTGGAGTAGCTAGGATTATAGGTGTGAGCCAGTGGTACTTGTTTAATTTTTTTCTTTTTTTGAGAAAATATTTCTGATGATTAGGGAAGTAGTTATTTCCTTAGCCAGAATTTCACGTGTGGGTTGGGAGAAAAAGTAGCAACTCTGCTAACAAAACAAAACCTATACATGGTCAGTAGAATATTCAAGTTTTGAGGGGGGGGATATCTAAAATATCTTTTGACTTTTTTTCTGTTATTTCCATTTTATTCTTTTTTTTTTTTTTTTGGCTGGTTCTGCGCTTGAACTCAGGGCCTAGGCACTGTCCCTGAGCTTTTCTGCTCAAGTCTAATACTCTAAGCTACTTCTGGCTTTTTCTGGTGCTTAATTGGATATAAATAGTCTCATGAGCTTTCGTGCCCTGGCTGACAGTGAATTGTGATTCTCAGAGCTCAGCCTTCTGGTAGCTAGGACTATAGGTGTGAGCCACTGGCTCCCAACCTTATCTTACATTGACATAAGGTATGTCTAGAAACTTAACAGCATGGGCTGGGAATCTGGCTGAGTGGTGCATGCATGAAATACTGCGCTTGATTCCTCTGTACCACATAACCAGATAAGGCCAGAAGTGGTGCTGAGGCTAAAGTGGTAGAGTGCTAGCCTTGAGCAAAAAGCTCAGGGACAGTGCCCCAGGACTGGCAAAAAAAAAGAAAACAAACAAAACCCCCCAACCCAACAGCAAAAAACCCACCATGCTGAGCTGACCTGTGTTCTGGTGAGATATGGGCTAGGCTAGGACACATGGCTTATCCACAGAACATGGAGAAATGAACAGAATCCTACTCATCACCCGTCACTAACTTGTTAAAATAATTGAACAATGTCAATTCTTGGCCAGGCATAGTGGTTGATGACTATAATCCAAGCTACTCAGGAAGATTGCAGTTCCAGGCCAGCTTGGGCAAAAAGTATAAACGTGAAAACCTTACTCAAAAAATAATTAAAGCAAAACGGTTGAGGATATAGCTCAAGTGGAAGAGTACCTGCAAGTACTCAGAAAACACAAAATCCCAAGTTCAAGTCAGTACTGCCACCCCTACACACAAAAAGGGTCAAGCTCTAAATTTAAGGAAACATTAAAATCATGGAAATTTTGCTTAACTCAGGGCTTGGTCTCTCTCTCTCTCTCTCAGGACTAAGTGCTCTATCACTTGAGGCACAGCTCTACATCTGGCTTTTTGGTGATTTATTGGAGATAAGAGTCTCACAGACTGCCCTGTCTGGGCTGGCTTCCAATTGAGATCCTCAGAAATCAGCCTTCTGAGTAGCTTGGATTATAGCTATAGCCACCAGCACCTGGTTCAGTAACGGTTTTTGCTTTTAGAGACAAAGAAGGAAAGCCACCTAGAGTACAGGGATAAAACAACAACAACAACAAAAACAAACCAATTAGAAGATGGGGTTGGTGAGAGCCCAGCAGCACATATAGCAGGGACTTCTGAAAACCCACGAGTACTTGAGCTCATTGTTACTGAATTCTGTTGCTTGACTAACTTCAAGCTGAAAGGCCAAGTGCATCCCAAAGCCACATGGATGGCATGTATTGGGCCCTAATCACAGGACCCTAGTCTAAGTGTTTTTGGTATGCATTAGCTCTTTGAACAACTGTCAGTTAGGACCTATTAACAACATTTTACAGGAATAGGAGCCTGAAGCAGAGATTGAGTTACTCAAAATCTCACAGGTGTTAAAACTCTAGAGTGAATGATTATTAGATTTGGGGTTTGGAAATGAAAAGCTCTAAATGTAGAAATTAAAGAAAATGTATAACATCCACTAACTATGCAATGAAAGGAAATGACAGATCACATTGACAAATTTAAGAGCACTGGGTGCTGGTGGCCCGAGCCTGTAATCCTAGATCTGAGGATTACAGTTCTAAGCCAGCTTGGGCAGAGAAGTCCCTATAAGACTTTTTTTTTTGGTTGGTCATGGGGCTTGAACTCTGGTCTTAGACACTGTCCCTGGGCTCTTCAGCTCAAGGTGAGTGCTCTACTGCTCACCTTGAGTGGTTTATTGCCCGGGCTGGCTTTGAACTGTGATCCTCAGATCTCAGCCTCCAGAGTAGCTAGGATTATAGGTGTGAGCCACTGGTGCTGGGCCCCTGTAAGACTTTTATCTCTAATTAATCACTCAACAACTGGAAGTGGAGCTGTGGTTCACAGAGGTAAAGCCCTAGCCTTGAGCAAGAGAGCTCAGGGACAGTGCCCAGGACCTAAGATCAAGCCCCCCCACCAAAAAAAAAAAAAATTAAAGTCACTAGAGATTAGTTAATGGACTAGCATTTGGGTAGAAGGCTACGTGGTCTCAATGAGAACTACAGAAGGGCAAGGCCAGGTACCAGTGGCGTGCATTTGTAATTCTACTACTCAGATCTGAGTTCAAAGCCAGCAAACTCAGGGAAATCTGTGAGTCTAATTTCCAATTAACCTCCAAATACCCAGAAGTGGAACTGTGACTAAAGTAGTAGGGTCCCAGCCTTGAATGAAAAAGCTAAAGGGCAAGTGCTGAGGCCTAGAGTACAAGTCCAACATTGGCACAAGAAAACAACTGCTGTGAAAAGGCCAAGTCAAATCTATTCTATGAAGGTACAGGTTGCATAGATTACTTACATCAGGAGAGCTATAAACTAACAGGGGGAGGCCTGTGGCTCTTTGGAGAGCATGTGTTTCTGACATTATTGTCTTGATTTTCAGGCTATAACCTGGTTCTAGGGCTTTGTTTTCTTTCTTTTTTTTAAAAAATAACTTTTTATTGAGGTTAAATGATTACATAAATTTCACA